TGGAGGGCTGCTCTGGACCCGATAGGAGGAGGTGAAAGTACGGCCGAGTTAACTGTTCTCCGTGCTGATCCTCCAGATCCCACTTCTTTGGGACTCCAGCCTCTCCCAGCGCCCACTCCTCTGCTCATACAAAATGAATTCCACGGCCCCGGAGCCCCTCGGAGCAGAGCACGTCAGGTGGACCTGCTGCCCCCTCACTGGACTCTGGGGGCTCAGAGACAGGCCGGGGGCTGGGGGAGCCGGGATCAGGGTGGGGAGCTGGGAAGCTGGGAAAGGAACAACTGTCAGCAGGGTGGCGAAAGAGGAGGATAACAGCTGGGGCGCAATGGGGGGGGTCAGTCAGCCCTGGGTGGGGGGGGTCAGAGCCCCAAATTCTGAGTGCCTGCAACACAGACTTCCCTTCCCTGCACCCTAACCCATACTGGGACCCCACCGAAAAATCTCATCCTGGCCCCTACCTTCCCTGGGACCCCACGCAACACCCTACTCCTGCACCCCAACCCTGTTGGGACCCCACTCCTCTCTTCACCCCCCCATTTCCCCTCTCTCTCAATCAGCTCTGGTGATCCCCAGACAAGCGGTATGGTCTGCATCTCCCCCGTCTCCACAGGGACCCAGGGAAGACTGGCACATCTGGAGACACGGGGCCACAACTGCCTGCCGCCCCCCGCCCCACACCGAGCTCCCCCCACCCCATTCTTGGCTGCAGAGGGGCGGACTCAGGGGGCCCCCGTGTGGCGAGGCTGGGAAATGCGGACTGTTCCCAGGAGCCCCAGGAGAGAGTCTGCTCGGCCCAGACCTGGCTCTGCCAGGAGAGCCCCAGTCTCCAGCCCCCCCGCCCCAGCCTGGGAGCAAACGACTCAGGGGCTGTGGTCAGGAGACACAGGAAGTTCGGGGAGAGGACAAGAGATGGAAACAGCCCATCCCCCACCCCTCAGCCAGCCACTCCCCTGCATGGTGAGACCAGATGGGAGACGGTGCCCCCTAGAGGGGAAAGGCCCCATGCCCCATTCTTCACCCCCCCCGAGCCAGCCAGTCCCCCCTTCCAACAACGACAGCCACAGCCCCTGTGCACAGACCAGGGGATGAACCGGATCCCTCGGTCCCCTCGGACGACACCAGCCGGGGGAGGATCTGCAGCCAGGCTGTAAGAGAGGAGACAAGGGGGGTGAGAGCTCTGGGGTGGGATGGGTGATGGGGGGCAGGATCGAGGGGTATGGAGCAAATGACTCCGGATACTGGATTTACAGACCTTCCTGGTATGTTAGGGTTAGCAAGGGGAAAGAAGGAAAGAAAAAGAGTCGGTGGATGGGGCCGGGGCTGGACACGGAGGAGGGTCCCTGGCTCAGGCCGGGGCTGGACATCAGGACACTTGGGCTCTGATCCAACCAGAGCGGGGCCTGGGAACGTCTCCGTTCTACAGCCTGTCAGTGGGTTGCAGGCCGGGCTCTTGGCAGGCTGCAGGGGATCCTGGGCTCCAAGTCTGCAGATCCGGGGCAGCCCTGCCAGGCCAGGCCTTCCCGCTGCCTGCCGGGGAGCCGGCCAGCCCTGGAGCCCGGGATCCCTGGCGGCAGAGCCTGGCACATGGCAGTGCCCCCAGACCCTGGCAGCTGCTGGGTGAAACTATCACAATTCTTGTCAGTTTCACTCTCTGTATTCACAAGGGTGGCCCCGATCTCTGTCTGTGCAGCACCTGCCACAACAGGGCCCTGATCACGGCCGGGGTCTGGGCAGAGCCTGGCCTGACGGCGTCTGTTGCTCTAGGAAATTCCCCATCAAACAACATGCTTAGGCTCCGTGCTGCAGCTCCCTGCATGATACTGGGGCCGAAGGGGGAAATGAGCCAGGGGCTGAAGGAGGGGGGCAGAGGGTGACACAGAGAGAAAGAACAGACACAGAGGGAATGAGACAGGGGCCGGAGATCGCGTGGGATTTATTTATTGTTTCGCAGACACAGTCCGGTCCAGCCAAGCCACAGCGTCTTATCAGCCACGCTCAAGGCGCGAAGACCTGCAGGAAACGGAGTCATTTTACAGCCCTCACCCAATGTGTGTCCTGGTTTGGGGGATGGAAACTGAGCGGAAGGAAGAGGGAGACAAGAGTGAACCGGACGGGATGGGGGAGGGGGGAGGAGTGTGAATGGGAGCAAGAGATGGAGAGAGAATGAAAGTGGGCGACAGAGGAAAAGGACAAAAAGCAAATTGTAGAGTGAGACAAAGAGCAGGGAATGAACGAGGCAGGGGCAGAAGGAGGAGGACAGAGGGGAAGGGGCAGGAGTCAGGGACAGAAGGAGGCGGGCAGAGGGGAAGGGGGAACGAGGCAGGGGCAGCAGGAGGAGGGCAGAGGGGAAGGGGCAGGAGGCAGGGGCAGAAGGAGGGGGACAGAGGAGAAGGGGGACCGAGGCAGGAGCTGAAGCTGGGTTGGGGGGTGTCACTCACCCAGCACAGGGAGAAGGTCAGTTAGCTCCATACTGGGTTGAACTAGCCGAGGCTGGGAGCTGCATCCCCGGCGCCCAGCCCTGCCTCTCTGCTGACAGCAGCCGGGGCCCCGGGGCCACTCTCGGTGCAGCGAGAGGAAGTCCTGTCCGAGGGACACAGCCACCGCCCTGCCCCAGCACCGAGGCATCAAGCGCTGTGGGCTCAAAGCCAGGCTGACCACGGCCCAGCCTCGGGGCTCCCAGCATGCCTTGCAGCTACCAGCCGCTGTGCACTGCCCACACTGACAGTTCCATAGAATCATAGAATATCAGGGTTGGAAGGGACCTCAGGAGGTCATCTAGTCCCACCCCCTGCTCAAAGCAGGACCAATCCCCAACTAAATCATCCCAGCCAGGGCTTTGTCAAGCCTGACCTTAAAAGCTTCTAAGGAAGGAGATTCCACCACCTCCCTGGGTAACCCATTCCAGTGCTTCACCACCCTCCTAGGGGAAGTTTTTTCCAACCTAAACCTCCCCCACTGCAACTTGAGACCGTTACTCCTTTTTCTGTCATCTGCTACCACTGAGAACAGTCTATATCCATCCTCTTTGAAACCCCCTTTCAGGTAGTTGAAAGCAACTATCAAATCCCCCCTCATTTTTGTCTTCTGCAGACTAAACAATCCCAGTTCCCTCAGCCTCTCCTCATAAGTCATGTGCTCCAGCCCCCGAATCAATTTTTCCACATCCTTCTTGTAGTGTGGGACCCAAAACTGGGCACAGTACTCCAGATGAGGCCTCACCAATGTCGAATAGAGGGGAATGATCACGTCCCTCGATCTGCTGGCAATGCCCCTACTTATACAGCCCAAAATGCCGTTAGCCTTCTTGGCAACAAGGGCACACTGTTGACTCATATCCAGCTTCTCGTCCACTGTAACCCTAGGTCCTTTTCTGCAGAATTGCTTCCTAGCCACTCAGTCCCTAGTCTGTAGCAGTGCATGGGATTCTTCCGTCCTAAGTGCCGGACTCTGCACTTGTCCTTGTTGAACCTCATCAGATTTCTTTTGGCCCAATCTTCTAATTTGTCTAGGTCTCTCTGTATCCTATCCCTACCCTCCAGTGTATCTCCCACTCCTCCCGGTTTAGTGTCATCTAGGGTGACCAGATGTCCTGATTTTATAGGGACAGTCCTGATTTTTGGGTCTTTTTCTTATATTGGCTCCCATTACCCCCCACCCCCGTCCCGATTTTTCACATTTGCTGTGTGGTCACCCTACACTGTACACCCTACACCTGGACACTGTCATCTGTAAACTTGCTGAGAGTGCAGTCCACACCATCCTCTAGATCATTAATGAAAATATTGAACAAAACCGGCCCCAGGACCGACCCTTGGGGCACTCCGCTTGAAACCAGCTGCCGACTAGACATGGAGCCGTTGATCACTACCCGTTGAGCACGATGATTGAGCTAGCTTTCTATTACCTTATAGTCCATCCATCCAGCCCATACTTCTTTAACTTGCCGGCAAGAATACTGTGGGAGACTGTATCAAAAGCTTTGCTAAAGTCAAGGAATAACATGTCCACTGCTTTCCCCTCATCCAGTGTGAGCAGAGAGGGCTTTGGGGGTGATCAGGGGAGGGGGAGGATCCTGTTGCATCGTATATCCCGGAAATGCAGCCAGTTCTGGGGTGGGGTGGCTGGTGGACAGCCACACATAACGCCACATGTGATGGCCCGCCTGGGGCTAAGATGGAGATAGCTGTGGGGTGGGGCAGCTGGGGAACACGCTGGGCCAAGGGGACGTGACTGTTACTGGAGCAGAGACCCGGCTGCGGACGAACTGAGAGACGAACTCAAGCCATAGAGTTTAGCTGAGCCAGCTGCAGGCTCTGGGCGCCTGGTGCTGGGGAGGAGATCTGCTGCTAGTCACCTCTGTACTGTCCCCTCTAGAGGGCGCTGGCTCTGATCCAGCCCGAGGGCAGGAATTGGCTGGCTCATGGGGGCAGGGGGCTCTATGTGTTGGGGGCAGGGGCGTGTGGCTGCCCCCTCCCAGTCAGGGCTGATCCCGATGCCCCAGCTCTAGGGTGGGACCTGATATTGACAGGGCTCAGGGATACATGGGGCGTGGCCTGAGATTATGGGTGGAGCTTGTTATTGAGGGGCGGAGCCAGCACC